CATCCCTGGAAGTGTTCCAGGCCAGGTTGGATGAGGCTTTGGGCAACCTGGTGTAGTGGAGGGTTTCCCTGCCCATGGCAGGGGGGTTGGAACTAGATGATCTTTGAGGTCCCTTCCAACTCTAACCATTCTATGATTCTATGATTTGCCCAAAAGTGTGCCTGTACTTCCACTGGTGTTTTCTTCCCCTTAGAAAGATTTGGGGACAGAATCTAAAGGTTCCTGTGACTTTTACTTCATACGTTACCAGGACTAATTTCCTTTTTAGTGATGGTGTCAAGAGGCACGAAGTGAGATTGAGAGACCTTACTGTGTGTGTATAGCATGCTTGCAAAGACTTAGAGAGCAGTGACTAGCATGTGGGTCCGTGAGGAGCAAAAGCATGCCAGAAAGGTGGGTGACCTGTGCTCTCCTGGCGTGTGATGTGGTCCAGCCTGCTGCCCTGTTGAGGCTGGCGATATCTGGGGGTTTGGGAGGGTCACTTAGCTATAGAGATGAGCAGTAATATTGCTTCCTGGCAAAAGCCAGCTTGCTTTACAAGTGGACCAAGCTGAGAAGAGAAGCAGAGTTAAAATAATGAATGCTGTGGCTGGTAGCGCTCTTGGGAAGACAAATTCCTGTTGTCTTCTGGTGTATACCCAGTACATGCTGGTCTTGTTTTTAATCTGGTTGAATGGGCATTCTCCCCCATTTTGCACAGGTCTGTGTGCACTAAACTGAATTTTTAATTGGTTGTCGGTGCTAGAACTTAAATATCACATTTCTTGTTTGCTTGACACATGCATAAGCCTACACAACTTTTAAAATAAATCTGAAAGGTGGTCTGATCTGTCTGAACTATGGTAGCAAAACCATGCCTACAGCTGGTGGAAAACTGAGTTGACACCAGTGAGCGGAGACACGTTTTGAGAAGAGCAAGGGAGACTACAGCCTTTTTCCAACCCCAGCCAGCTGAGCTTGTGGCTGTGCATGCCATGGCCTGGCTTTCTGCAGGGCTTGGAAGAGGAGAGAGACACTTTGCAGTTGCCGCTCAGCCTGTTGCTCCAGAGCCCTACTTGTGCTCCCAAAACAAATAAGAAAAAATAAAAACAGTGCTGCTTCAAAGAGGACTTCGTCAGATCCTTGAGTTTTCAAAGACCTGGTGCTACTTCTATGAGGATTTAACATCACTCCTAACCTCTGGGTCACAGCTACCAAACCACTCTGCTGCCTGTTTAAGCTCTGGTAATCTTGGCTGGGTTTCTGCTTTAATTTGGAGACAGCCTGCTGCAGCTCTGCACAGTAAATGCCCTATTAAGCAGTTAATTATTTCTCTATAATACTAGCTTTTATCTTTAATACAACAGTTTGACTGTCTCTGATAATTACACAGTCTTGGATAACTCTCTTAAATCTAATGAGGCATGACAAGCTGTGTTCAACAAGGCACCACACCATTAACTTCTTACCTCTTACTTGTCATCTTATCACACTGAATTACTGTATTTCTAGCCTGAGTGGCTGTGGATACATAACATGTCACTTCTTATTAAGACAATAATGAAAATCATCCCTGGTGCTCTCGTGGTTGGGCTAGTGGTCAGCTGGCTGACCTGGTGGCCTGCAGACCTCTCCAACAGCTTCTCTGCAGCATCATGCTCTTTGCCCCATGAGCTGTGCAAGCTTGTTGAGTTCAATTTAAATACTTCTGGCGGTTCAGATAGCTTGGTTGGTCTGTAGGTCTCTTGCTTGGGGGTGGGTGAAGTGCAAACGGCCCTTTGAAGGGTATTGGTGATGACAGACTTTCTTTGTGCTGATGGAAGTCATTGCTGCAGGGATATCTCGTGATGGGATACAGCTGGGTAAGGGAAACCAGGCTGTTTTTCTGGACAGGGATAGGACACAAACTGCTGCAGTAATGCCTGGTGTAACTTAACATGACTGCTGCTTTGTTACTCGTTAACAGCAATAGCAGATCAGGTCTGGTTTTCTGTGGGTTTGAGAGTGGCACCAAAAACTTGCATGTGCCTGACTTGAAGTCCTGGGCTTGCAAGAATCATCTTTTCGTATATCGCCCTGTCGCCTTGCCAGTAAAAGTAGTACAAAGTTGTACTTCTAAGATGTTGAGGCTCCTGGCAGGGAGGTTCTGCTTCCTTCCAGGCTGGACCAGGAAGGTGTTTCCCAGGGGAATGATCCCAGGCTGTCCCTTGGGGCAGATGGTAGGGCTCCAGCTGGCAGGCCGAGTGCTCAAGTACAGCTGGACTGAACAGGTCAGTTAAGTACCGCCTAGAAGCAGAACAGCACAGAGCCCGTTCTTTGGAAATTGGCTGTATTCAGCTAATGTTTGATGTTTCTCAGCCTTTACAGAGCTGACTCTGCTTTTGGAGCTGGGTTTGCCTGCCGATATGTGGAGCTTGTATGAGTTGTGCTGTCAAAGCTAGGTATTTCCCTACTGAGCAGGGGAGGAAAAAGCCTTGTTTCAGCATATAACCTGAGTCGTTCAGATTGCCTGTGGATATTGGATGGGATGCTCATGGGACCAGCTACTGTGGTGTGCCTGGATTAGATCAGTTCCTGACTCCAAAAGGGCAGTTTTTACTTGGACAGAAGCTGTTAGCTTCTCAGCAGCTTCATTAACTGAAAGACTAACCAGCAAGTGGAGTGTAAATGTGGAAAGAGAGCTGGATACCAAGTCGTGTTTAAAATTGTGCTGGCCTTATCAGTGTTAGTGATCTAAAATGGACCAGAGGTATTGCTTGTGCCTTGTTCCTTACCCCACTGGAGAGCAGGCAGAAGCATGAGGCTCTGATGTCTCTGCTGTCATCTGTGGCACTCTGGGTCCCTGTCTTCGTATCCCCAAGTTGCCCTGGGAAGTGTCCTCATGTGCCAAGAACTGTCAGCAGTCAAAAAAGTCCCTTTGTTGGTTGTAAATTCGAAGGCAGTGGCTGATTACCTATAGCTGGAGGGGAATGAAGAAAGAATAGCTTCGACAGGTGGGATGGTGTGTGTCTGTTCTGGCTTTTGGTTGCTTTTTTAAAGGAGCAGAGTAGGCTATAGGGCTCCTAAAGGTGAAGACTTAGTGATGGTAAAATAGATTAACTGATGATCTGTTTGGGCTTCTGCAGTCTGCCTGCTCCTCAGTACTTGTTGCAGTGATCTGCCTGGTATCGGGCACAGCTGGGATGTGTAGAAGGATTCGGTGATTAATGCTTACAATATGTACTCCTCAGGGATTTCTCTAACAGGGTTGTACATTGCACATCGATTTATACTCATGTGTTGTGCTGCTTTCAGGCTCCTGGTTTCACTAGGTGGCACCACCAAGCAGCTGCTCTGCTTCCATCCCTGGCTGGACTATCAGGGAGGATGCACTAAATCATTTTTTCCATTTCCCAAAAAAACCAAAAAGTCACAGCTCATTATTTTTCACTCTGAATCCTGCTCAAGCTGGAAGCGTATTGGGAACTGATTGTGGCAGATGTAACCTGCTGTCCATCTTGAGCTCAGCACTGGTGAGGAGGAGAGTGGTTCCAGGGGCCGAGGTGGGGTCGGGGATCTGCACCCCCGGTGTCTCCCAGAGGTCTGGAGGCAGTGTGCTTGGGGCAGCAGATGCAATGATCATGTCTCTGGTTCTAGATGTAGCTGTTGGCAACCTTACTGCAAAGCAAGACAGTGCCACTGAATGCCCTTTACTTTTGTTTTGTTTTTTTTATTTTCCTTCTAATTAGGAAATCTAATGTAGTTCAAAAGTCTTTTCCAGGTCTGCTTGTTTCACAGCATCGGTACCTGTGGGTTTAAAGGGAGAAGAGTTGACCTGGTAGCTGGTGCTTTCTAAAATGGTCTCCTAGCTGGAGTGACAAGAAGACTGTCAAAAATTACTTCTGCATGGGATGTGGTACTTGGTACTTTTCCATTAGCAGCTCCTATTTGCACATGTAAAAGCTGGTGGAACCCAAGGAGAGTATCAAATCTCTGACAAACTAACTGGAACCCTTTGAGATGCTTCTGCAATGCTCAGACCCCACTCTGAGCAAAACTGGTAAAAATCCAGCTTGCTGTTATCTCCAGGTAGTAACAGGAGAAAGCTCAGAGCAGCTACTGCAATAGACACCACTGGAGAACTCCTTAGAGGAGGACAGACCTGAAGGGCTGGAAGGAGCAAACTCGTCTATGGCTGGAGGGACTTCATTTAAAGAATTTTAGAATGGTTTGGATTGGAAGAGACCTTTAAAGGTTATTTGGTCCAACCTTCTTGCAATGAGCAGGAACGTGTTCACCTGGATCAGGTTGCTGAAAGCCACATCCAAACTGACCTTGAATGTTTTCAAGGAAGGAAGAGTTGCTTCAAATATCTGTTGTCAGGCAGTATGGTTGGTGGTACTGAAGCCATGTGTCTCAGACTACTGCTGCACAGCGGTAGCCAGTGGGCATGAAAAATCTTGTGTAATGAAATAATGTCTTAATACTAGCTGGCATGAGCTTGGAGCCATGCCAGCTTGTAGGATTTTTGGGGCTTGGCACTGGTATCTTTATGCTGGAGGTGTGTGCAAGGTCCTGCTTCCTTGAAGGTCTTTTGGTCCTGTTAGCTACAAGGAGGAGATGGCTTTATTGTGCTGCTGTGACTTCAAAGCCTAGCAGACTCTTGGGCCATATCGTTTCACTGCTGCTACCATAATTTCAATTTGCCTGGAAGACTTATCAGAGCTAGTAGGTGGTGGTAAACCCTCTGTAGCTTCCCTCAGGCCACTGCTCATGGTATGAAAATGCTGTTGCTGAAGGACACTAGAAACACACACCTACCACCCAAACACCTCTGCTCTTCATCCTTCTGACCTTGTGGGTGCATGCGTTGCCTCTGATCAGTTTGGAGCCAGGCCCTTTGGATTTACTAAGCTTTAGACTGGCAAACGCTGAGCATCCTCCAGACTTTTTTGACTGCTTTTGCATTGAAGATTGGCACAGACCACACTCGTGTATCAGTTCAGCTCAGCTGGTTAACATAACTCTAATTTTCTTTGCAGTAAAACGATTCAAGGAACCAAAGGAAGAGAGACGTCCCTGGAGGATATGGTGAGATTTTTAATTTGGAGCTTGAAATGACCATATATATGTAATATTATTTTGTCTTATACTAACAATCTTCTAGGCCCTCTGAGTATCCTACGTGGTATTTAGTCATTAAATGAAATGCTCTGCTGCTGCTTGCCAAGGAAACCTCCATAAAGTAGCTGGTGCTCCTTCGAATGAAAATTCCCTGCCTAGCTCCTCCAGAAAAACTTGATTTTACTGTAGGTGACTGAACCAAGAGGTTAGTCATCTCTCATCTGCTGGCATACCTGTACGTGGGCTATCTCCTAGACAGGGTCAACTTTTGTTCTTAACTTGCATTAATCACTTTGGTGTCCCCTGACACAGCTCAATCATAGAGCAGGCAACATGTTTGGCTGTGTGTTGATGTAAGGTAGCTGGGTATGGCCGTCAGCTTCAGGCACCTCTACAAAGCATCTCTGTACTGTAGGATTTACTGGATGCCAAGAGGTGGGCATATGAGTGGGCTCAGTGTATGGTCGGGCCAGCTTGGCAGCATGGAGCTACCAGCCAACGTTAGTGATGAAAAGCCTGTTAGTCTTCTCAGTTTGGTTCTTCCCCTAAAATAATTAAAGAATTCCATCCAGTTCCCTGTGGACAGGTGCAAAAATTGTAAGTAGCTGGACACTCTCCCTGCACCTACTGCTAGTTGGAGAAACTGAGGCTGGGCACTGGAGGGGGACCTGCCCTTCGCTGCAGGCTAAAACTCAGCAGCAAATCTCCAAGACTGAGCTGCCACGTACTGAAGCGGTATCTCTTTTATTTGGAGTTGGCCAAACTGTCCCTTTTTTCACCATGTACAAATTCTTTGGTGTGATGAATGCGTCTTAGAAGGAAATCAGACCCATGCAGGACCTTCGCTCGGGTGACTGCTCCTGGCTGCTGGTGCTCCAGGGCACAGATCTTTTTCCTTTTTTTTTTCCTCTCTCCAGGTTTTATGATACCTCTAAGCAAGCAATAGGTGCCCTCTTCATCCACTTTGCCAATGTTTTTCTGTCGGATCTCACCGAAGAGGACCCTTGCTCTCTGTAAGTACACAAGGTGCTCGTGTTTGTGTCCTACATCTGTAAAAGGAAGCAGAAAGCCTGTTGGAAAATGTCATACACGGTGGAAACTGATCCATCTGAAGCACTACATGGGGATAAACCATGCTGAGCTTATTTTCAGGGTCTGGGTTGTCTTCTGGTCTTTGCAGTCTGATGGAGATAAAGTAGTGCAATCATGCTTTTCTGAGGACTAAAAGCACTTTCAAATGTAAGGGCAAAAGGCTGCAGCAATTGCAACTGTTAAACGTGCCCTTTGCTTGCACACCAGACTGTTCAGTTTGGCTGGGCTCAGAGCAGCATTGAGAGCATCCTAAGTGTGTGGGTGAAGCCGTTGTCCAATGTAAGGATATTGTAGTGGAGGGTTTCCCTGCTCATGGCAGGGGGGTTGGAACTAAATGATCTTTGAGGTCCCTTCCAACCCAAACCATTCTGTGATTCTATGATTTTTTTGGGGGAATGTTCATTTGCACCTACCACACGTATTCTCGTAGTCTTGTTTAGGGGCTTTCTAATGCCACCTTTGCTTCAGAGCAGCCACTCTGCAGCTACAAATTTAGCTTCAGAATTAACTTTATCCTGTTTTGAGAAATGTCTCCAGGCTTCAAAATGCTGCTGCAAACCTTCTGGCCCACCTTCTTTTGCTATATATAAAAAATATGTGCTGCACCTCGATATGTTTCTTTAAACAGACACAAGCTTGGCTGGGGCTAAACATAACCTCTAAAATGATTTACTGTTGTTTTTTAAACAGATACTCTTTTAAAATAAACCCTTTCGTGCTTATACTGTGCCCTTTGTTGTTTTTTTTTTTCTTACTGCATGTTTTACATTTCCCTGTGCTGCCTGACTTGCCATCCTGAACCAGGCAGCTTAAAACTCTACAGCCCTGTCCCAGGGCTTTGAGGCTCATACACTATGTGTCTTGCCCAGTATAAACCACCAGAGCCTCATGTTTGTGGCAGAGTACTCTGATTTCGGCAGCTGAAAACTGTAATAAGTTAGTCTGAGCCTTTGGATGTAGAAAAAACTTAATGCCATGTTTTCAAAGTGGATATCAAAAGCAGATGGTTATTTTCAGTGTCTTTAGTCAGAGGCAGTATCAAGTTCTGGAAAAGGAAATGTTAATTCCTGTAGCTCTGTGCTTGGTATTTTCTTCACGCTGTAGAAATCTGGCTTGATCTGGGAGAAAATATTCCAATAATGGAAAACTGGCCAGAAAACATAAGTCTTGAGTGATGATTTTTTTTTTCCTTCCCCTTTCTCTGGAGTTCGTTAAAATACCAAGCCCTGGATTGGAGCTTGGACCCTGCAGTCCCCAGAAGGTCCCTGTCGGTCTCCTGCCTCTGATGCTCTGTCCAGTGAGGCTTAAACATCCAACGCTGCAGAGCAAGCCCAGATCTCCTGGTGGTGATGGGTTCAGCTCGTGGCTCTGCGATGGGGACCCTGAACCGAAGGCTTTTGGGGACCCCCAGGGTGCCTGCTGTGGAGTCAGGGCTCATCACCTCTCCCAAGACCTTCTGCCTCTCAGTCTGAGTGTCTGCTCATAGAAGCCTCTTGCAACTGCTCAGTAAAATGGACTTTTTGCCCCTTCTGCTGCACAATTTGCAGAGCAGCTGTGGTGTCCAAGAAGGTTTCATTTCCTTGTATGAAATGCAAAAAATGTTTGGTTCTGTTTCCTTGAAACTTGGGATTTCATCCCAATAAGAACTAAAGATGCTGCAAATGGAGAGATTTCTGTTTGGGGTCACTTTTAAGCAAGGCTGGCCTAGGAAGTATTTAATGCTATATGAATAAATGAGCAATGCCAGAGAGCTGGTGAAGCCTGCTCCCTTCTCTGCTTTTAAACTAAGAAATTGCTGGTAAGGCTCTAGGAAAATCCAATAAAAGAGAAAGGAAGTGAGCCTTGGACTGTTAAGTGGGGATTTTTTTTTATGGGTTCCTATATTGAAATAAAAGACTTTGTTTTTAAGTCTTATTCAACTGAAAACTGAATTTTTCTCTGCTCTTAGCTACCTTATTAATTTCATCCTTGATGCCACGCTGGGGATGCTGCTGATCTGGCTTGGTGTGAAAGTTGTCTCCTGGATCGTGCAGCATAAGAAGTACACGTACCTGGTCTTCGGAGAATATGGTGGGTGTCAACCGTTGGGTGCTTGTTTGCTTCAAGCTGTGAATAGGGAGAAGAAAATGGCAGAAACTACAGTTTGGGGATAAAAAATATAAGCTTCTGTTATCCCTTCTGCAAGAGCATGGGTAGCGATCAGAGTGTTAAATGGTGGGACATCACTAGGTCACAAGTAACTGCCTGCTGTCCTGCCAAGCACACTTGAGCATAGCAGGTTGGTGATGAAAGTTTTCTTGAGTGGATAATATACCCCAGGACATGTGTACGATAAATTAATGTGCTTGGATGTGGTGGTGGTTTCTGTGGGGTTCTTTTGGGTTTTTTTCCTGGCCTCTCAGTTCAAAACGTGGAGTTGTTCCTGCGTTTGCCTTGAACTATAGTAGGCATCAGCAGGACACAGCCTGGCCCTAAAACTGAGTTCTCAAATGACTTGTAGGTTTGGTTGGTTGGAGTTTTTTCCAACTGATGTTAAAAACCCAAACCAACCACCAAACAATTTTAAGGATGTCCCAGGCTGTCAACCTCTCTACTTCGATTCCTGTCTTGAGGTGAGAAAAACTTTGAGAAAAGCCTTTCTCAGGCAATCCCACTAGAGGGTAGCACTTCTCTTCAGAACGAGCAGAGCCAACTTCCAGTGCTTCTCCGTGGCTGCCAAAAAGGGAAATATTAACCCTTTGCCTATTTCACGTTATATCTAATATAAAGACAGATTCAGTCTTACTTTAGAAAATGCATCCTATTCAAAAGGGAAATATTAACCCTTTGCCTATTTCACATTATATCTAATATAAAGACAGATTTCAGTCTTACTTTAGAAAATGCATCCTATTTGTACCAATCACATTCCCACCTTTAAGACCTTAATCATTAAGTCTATTCTGAAAGTAGTGCTTGTTCCTTTGTATTTTTAGTAGCTGATCTGATGACTGAGCTGGTGAAACTGGGACCAAACTAGTGCTAGTGTGGAGACTCCACTGACTTGTCAGCTTTTACTCAGGCTCACGGTCAGCACGTGTAAATGGGTCATGGCACAGGATAAAGGGGATGGTTGTGTTTGAGACAGCGGAAGCAGCTACAGACTGGGAATGAGATGACAACAGGTGGGTTGAAACGATAGGATGTGGCAGGGCTGGCTGTCATCAAACCTGAGAGTGGCTTTAAAGGCTGCAGTGGTCTCCAGAGCAGGTTCAGCATCCTGACAGCATGTGTTTGGTGGGAAATACCGTTTTTTTCCCTAATGGCTCTTTCTTGAAGAGCAAAGCACTCAAGTCGTTCAGACAAGACAGCAGAGGAATCCAGATATTTTTGATTCAGGGTCTGGCAACAAGGACTTGAAGCCCAGCAACAGCCATCCCATGGGACAGCTTTCAGCTTCACGCGCCACGTCTGCAGTAGAGCAGCAGCAAGGGAATGTTAAAGTGTATTGACAGCTTGCTTTAGCCTTGCAGAGCTGCAATGAACTTCTGTTGAGCTGTAGCTGGCCCCTCGTGAAGGCTGGCTTAGACTACAGAAACAGCCCACTCCACTGAGGAAATCTTGCTTTCATTAATTAAAAAAAGAAAAAAAGTTTCTGCTGTTGCTTGAATTTAGCTCTTGAATTGGGGATTAAATATCTCATCCACTGAGCACCGCTGTTGGTGCAGGTCTCTGGCCAAAGTGACCACAATGGAAAAGTTTGGTAGGAGTCAAGTGGCATGTCCAATGCAGTCCTGTTGTAGGGCTAGGGAAGGAAAACACTCCTATCCTCATCTCAGATGTTAAGTAACTTCCAAAACAGTTTGGAAGATGCAAGTGAACTTTGAACGGTTTGCCACAGGCTCCAGAAATATGATTCATTTTCTGATCTAATTGCTCTACCAGACTTTGTTGCTTTCCTCAGCTCTCCTGAGGAGCAAAAGCATCTCTTGTAGTTCTGCAGAGGAGGAAGGGCAGGAAAACACCAAATCCATGTTGCAAACTGTGCTCCAACCATCAGAAAAGAACAGTTGTGTCTTAGTGTACCCATCTACCTGCGTGGTCTTTGAGGACAAAGAAAAAAAAAAAACCCAAAACTGTTGCAGCTGCTTCATTTCTGACCCTCCAGCTCTTGGTTGCATCCTTGCAACTGATGCAAACTGCTGCAGTTATCCTTTGTTTTGTGCTCCAGCAGCTTTTCTGCTCTGCTGTTGGTACATCTGTCTCTGTGGCCCCAGCTGGTTCTCCCTGTGTGACGCAATAGCTGCATTAATGGAGAAGGAAAGAAAAGGGAAGGGAAAGCGCCTAAAATCTACGCTGTTATTTTAAGCATCCAGCTGTCCAGGACTGTTTAGAAAAATCAATTACTTTCGTATTTCAAAAGAACCAGGAGACACCCATTCTGAGATCAGCCTCGCTTGTGCCTGAGCTTTTGGCCAAGGACTGCTCCAGCCAGGAATGACCTGGTTTTTAGCTAGTGGGGAGTCAAAGGCTCCCATATGCTTATGTTCTTCCATCTTTGCCCAGCAGTTCTTGATTACTCTTTGGACTGTATCTAAGCACAGGAAACTGCATTTTAAAAGGCTGCTGTCTCTTCTGCAGATGCTTGGCTCCTGAGGTTAAAGATTGGAGTTGTTTATTCTTCATCTTGGTTCAAGCAGACTTTGGAGAGCAATGGGTTGCCTTACACATAATCAAAGCTAAGAAACTCCATGAAGGCTCTGTGCACCATTGCTCCAGCAGGGTGGCAGCAGGCCATGTCTGTAGGTGCTCTCCCTGTAGGAGACTTATGCAGGGAGAAGAGCAGAGTGGAGTTTAAGGCTGTAAAGGACTTGAGAGGTGGATACCCAAGGTCTTGGAGGTGCTACTGAGTCTGTACAGACTGAGCAGGGGAAATGCTGGCTCGAGTCAGAGCATACAGAGATAAAGCCTGGTTCAGCTTTGTGCCCCACCTCCAACCTGCTCCAGCCCTCTTCTCCCTCACCCATTCCCATGGCAGTGAGCAGCTCCCTAGAGAGGGAACCTCTAGATGGCTGCAGTGTTCTGGCATTGTAGTTGTGTCTAATAACTCCGAAGTATTACTTTAGAAACACTGGAGTATTTCTTTCAGGTAAGCAATGCTATGAATTTGCATTAAGAGATGGTTTCTGCCATGTGCAAGTAAAATGCTGAGGAGGAGCATCAAGAAATGATGGGGAGAAAGAGGGTGTTCCTGCTCGAGGATGCCTCTCTGGATGCCCATCTGGATGCTGACTTGTGTATGACTGTGGTTGCGGTCACTGACTGGTCTAAGCTTGATGCCTTGTGCTCATTCACTGTCTGGAAATGGAAAGGCATGTTGCTTGGAGACCTTAAAGTCTGTTTAGCAGCCTGTTGAACTCTGCTGGTCAAATTTAGTTGTAGCAGAATAAGCTTTATGCCAGCTGCTGAGTTTAACTGAGGACCTGTGTAGGCTGCTTTTGGCCCTGTTGTGGTGTTGTAAAAAATTTCCATAACAAATATTCCCACGTCCTGAAGCAGCCAAGGGAGCTGGCTGCTAATGTTTGAGGAAATACTGCTGAAAATAGCTCTAACCTGAGGGGCTGTCCTGTCCTTAGCATGCTTGGCCTTTCCACCCCTAGGACCACAGGGGAGAAGTAAGGAGAGAACTGAGGGTCATCCTGAAATGGTCGAGTGTGTGGTCAGGGTCCCTGCTCTGAGCAGGGGTGCAAACCTTTGGACTTTGTGGATCGGGATGAGAGCAGCAGTGGTGACCTCGCTGCGATAGCAGCATCTCTGGGGACAGAAGACCCAGAACAGTGGTGTGGCACTGCACACTGGGGACTGATTCCAGCTGAACACCCACTTTCAGTTCAGATGTAGGATGTGCCAGAGAGGGTCTGGGATGTCCACCAGACCCACCTGGCTGCACTGATGGGCAAGGTCCCAATCTCTGAAAACTGTTCTTGCCCTCAAAGTGAGCACTTCTGTGCAATTCAGGTACTTTACTGCTATTTCTTACCTTCCTCTGTACTTGGCACTGATAACTAGGTCCCTTGGTTTTGGAGGTACTGTTTGAGTATGTCTGAAGAGGTTTTTATTGACTCTTTCTATCCCTGCCATGTCACCCAGTGCAACTTTCAGTGCTTTCAAATATTTGCTTTTCCTCAACCCCACTGAATCCTCTGTTTTGGCTGTGGCTAAGCTTTTTCCTACCTGCTCAGCGCACACAGTCCCCAAAAGACCATAAATAAAGCTGTCTGGCAGGACCATGTGGGCTGTGCTGACAGCTTGGTACACTAGACAGCCTGGATTAAAACTAATCCTGTTGTGTGGTAACAACTCAAATAGCTCAAGCAGTGCTGCTTTTGCTCTGCGAGCAGTCAGGCTCCCACGCACGAGCGGAGTATGAGACACGTGTTTGTGTGAGGTTGCTGCAGGCACCAGTGGTCCTAGGTCTTCACCAAGGAAGTTTTGCTGATGGTGGGGAGCACCAGCAATGCTGCTGGAGGAGAACAGTCTAAAGGCAGTGCGTGCGTCCTTTGGGGTGAAGCTGGAGGAGGATATTTATTTCTGTCAGGGTGGGAGGAGGTTATAAGAAGGTTTGAGCAAAGGATGTTTGTTAAGCTAAAAGGAGAGGTTGGTGGTAGAGTCACTGTGTAGAGCTGAGATGTCCTGGGTTACCTTCCAACTAGGACTGGGGACAAGAAACTGGAAGTGTTCAAAGGGAGCTTTGAACATAATCTCCTAACAGGTATGATGTGGAGACTGCAAAGATCTTTGGACCAGTTCTCCACTCTCCTACAAGGAGAGGGAAGCTCTGAACACAACAAAGAGGAAGGCATCTATTTTTTTTATTATTTTTTTTTTTTAGCCTCCAGGTAGCAGATTGGTTTTTGCTGGCTGGCAATCTTGTGTGGCAGCAACAGTCTTATAGGCACTCACCTAGATTTATGTAATGGAAACACTTCATGAAAGAAAAATCCTCTCCCATCCATGGAGCAGGACACCTCTGGACAGCACTCGATCCATTAAAGACATTAAGTTGTGTCTGAGGATGCCTCTAACCATCTTGCTGCAGGAAGCCAGCACCTAAATGAGGTGCATGGTTAGCTGGGATCAGCTCAAGTTTTCCAGCCCTGTTTCCAAACTGTGGAAGGAGGAGATGTAGCAAATCTCTTTTATGGACTTGTCCAGGGACCACACCAAAGGCTCCCTCTCCCCTGATAAGATGCCAATAAATGGTGACTTGTATGTTACTGGCATTAGTCAGAGTTAGATGAATTAGTGGTAATTAAGACTTGGATAATGGTCACTCTGAGGTGGATCAATGGTCCTTGGATGACTTCAAACCTACTTGAGATAAGGAGCTGAGCTCCTTGGGAAAAGGAAAGGAGCCACTGTCTATTTACAGCTGAAGTTGTCCTTGCAGCCCTGTGGGCCATGTTGCTGTTTCACTTTCATCTCTCTCGTTTTCTTTTGGTACAGAGCAGCCTCCTGTTCTTGGGAGACCAAGATGCAGTAAAAAGTAACTGCAGAGACACCCTCTGATCTTCCTATCAGGGGATGGAAATTGAGTCCTGCCTAATTCTGCGCTCCAGGATGAATTCCTGTACAGAAACATCTCATCCCATAGTCTGAAAATGAAGCTCGGAATGGAAGAGGAGGAGGAAGAGGTTGCAGAACAGTAGCACTCTTGAGCTGCTTAAGGTGATAGAGTAGATGACCAAATCTGGCCTCTGCATAGGTCTGTAGGTCTCTTTCCATATTGTTCCACTGTGGACATGTAAGAAGTGCTGCTGTCCCCCTAACTGTGGAGGAAATTCACAGCATCTTCTCTAAGTGATGCAGAAAAAAAGAGTGAGAAATGTGAGTATTTGAAGCTCCATGCCGTGATGGAGGCACCTTTGACAAAGTGGGCTGTGGTGGGTGGCAAGGGGCGCAGGTCTGTCCTGCTTGGTAGCATAGACTTGCTCTACCACTTGCACATGCCCTGTGCACTTAGCCAGTGAAGCTGGCCCAGGTGGGATAGACCTCTGGTCTCGGAGAGGTGGGGTTCCCTAGGTGGAATCTTGCAGTTGCACAGTAAAAACTGTTCTCTAGCAAAGAGAGAAAAGGTTTTCCTTTTCCAAAGGTTGTCGAACCTCAGGAAAACTCAAGAGCAATTTGATGGCTTTCTTGAGAACTGAAAGTGAAGGGAAAGTTTTTGGGGTGAGGAGCTGTTAACCTTGGAGACATGGGCGAGTCCATGCCTACGGTGGGTTGAGAAGCAGTTGTCTTTTCTAGTGTCTGTGTATCAGCCTGGTTAGCCAAAACCTGGCGAGGGCTGTTGAGTGCACAGTATGCAACACCAAGAACCATAGCTTTTTGTGATGATAAATGGTAGTGACCTCCTATCCCCAAAAGGGTTTGAGAGGGCAGGTATTTGGGAGAGATCTCAAACTCGTTGCAGCTTTTTGGGCAGGCTGAGATGAGAGAAGTGTTCCACGAGTGCCATCGTGACTGCAGCGCCGAAGAGCCGACTTGCAAAGGGTGCTGTGGCTGTTAGTCCTGCCTCCCCACGGGGGATGGAGCACAGCTGACAACACAGAGCAAAAAGGAAAGAGTTCAGATGCAGGAAGGACACGATGGATATGTTTGTTTTCCTGTTTTGTTTGTACTTGGAGCTCTGATGGGCGATGGTAACCTGGGGCTTTGTAGGAGAATCGGTTGGTCTTGGGGTATAGGGGCAAAAGCCCTACTGTACCTAACCTGTGCCAAAGACAACTAGGCACCCGAGTCCATCGGGAGAGGCTGTCCATGCTTCAGGAGGATCAAAGCCTCTCTGACACTGCCCTTTAGTTGCCAGCTGCCTGTAACACTGCTCCCGTCTCCTCCCCAGACCACCCATTAAGCCGTTGCCTGCCAGGGAGCGGAGATGTGTGTTTTCCGAAATCCTCTGTGGGCTTTGCTGGTTGTGCTCACACGTCACCTTCCTGGCTCCCTCTTCCTCCCCACCCCTCCATGCAGTTGCCTGCTGGTCTGGCGCACTCTGCTTGCTGTCCTTGCAGCTCAGCAGCCTCTCTGCACCCCTGGTGTCCCAGTCATTCCCTCTCCCTTCCCTTGCTTCCTTCTCGATCACAGCCTGAGAAATTAAAAAGCTGAGATGCGAGGTGATTGCTCTGAGGTCTCTGGCATGGAGGCATTAGCTGGATAGCTCTTCTTAGCTGTAGCTTTGCAACGAGGCAAATGTTTTGGTACGTTGCTAACAAATGACAGAGTAAGGACAGATACACACGCGAACCTGTTCTGCCCTTGCCGGGAAGCGGATTCCCTTAGCGCTGGGCTTGGTTGGATACCAGCTCTTATTAAATCCTGGTATGCGCTGCTGGTTTCTGTGGCCGGAGGTTTGCATAACGGTTTGGATAAATGTGCTTTTGCAGACTACCAGTGTCGCCTTCCCCTGCCACGTCTCAAGCAGAGTTGTGCTGAGAGAAGCGCGGCAGAGTTCCCAGTCCGCTGCCGGTTGAGCGTCGGCGTCTCGCGGTGGGTTAGGTTCTCTGGCGCAGGTGCAATTCCGAATCCTGGTACAATTACGTTGGAAACACCTATTGCCAGGGGTTATCTTTTGTATTCGAGTGGCAAGAGGAAATGCTGCAGCTTTCCGAAGCCAGATAGTGTAGCTCAGTTTTGCAGACCCTGAGATGTTCCGATGAGCCTGGGAAGATGATAACCAGCTGGCAGGGTGCTTGCAGAGAGCTGAAGCAAGCACATGTAATGGATACGGCACCGTTATCGTTGTGAACAATACAAATTTGCTTTTACTTATTACTTGGTGAGCGCCCCGTTGGAAACATTCATATTTAATTAGCATCGATCCTTTTTGAGCGACTTGCTCTAAAACCTGGGGCGATGGAGCCCCTGTCTCTTGCTCAGACAGTGAATATCACGTAACCAGCTGTTCACTTCATCAGCAAAAAAAAACCAATAATTCTGTTTAGGACTGAAAGCTTGTGCTTCTTGTATTGAAAATGGTGACCAGGAATTTTCAGGCTGTTGCTGGCAACTGGTTTGGTAAGATTTGGCAGGGAGAAAATTGCAGGTAATACCTGTAAAGATTGATTTGTTTTTTGTTTGTTTGTTTGTTTGTTTTTTACAGAGAAGTGTGCAGGATACTGCCTGGTCCTTGTATAGACGAGGGTCAGTCCAGCAGTGTTTTGTCTTGAGGATTGCTATTGGGATTAGTTTTAATTCAAAAAGGATCATCAGTCTGGTGTTCTGGTCAAAAAGGGGCAGGCTTTTGAGAGCGACTCCTACAAGACTCCTAGCCACTGGAAGCAAGGGAAACCTGTCCCTGTACACTTTTCCAGGTTTGCTGAGGTGAAGAGAAATGAAATCTCTGGTACCCTGACAAAAGGGTACTGGACAAGGGACAAACGAAGTGACTGATGCTGCAAAGCAGTGCATGATTGTAAGGAACTATTTGAGTAGGATACTGAGATTTCTGATCTTTCCCTATATAAAGGATTTTAGTGGTCTGTCCTTGAAGACATGGGATGCTTGCTCCCTTGCACAAGCAAGGGCTTCCTCCCCTCAAATCCCTGTGTCTAGCTCAAAGTAGCTCAACACCATGGGGAGGATACTGGCAATGCCCATGAGTGACCGAAGGAGAGGGAAAACCTGCGTTTCCAAGGCTATGGATCTTTTCCCCTAAGTGGAGGAAAGCATACATTCATAAAAGTTGATGCAGTCTCCTTAGAGTTACCTGGAATGGCTTTTCCATTAAGCACTTGCAATACTACTGGGCTGTGGCCCTTGAGAGCCCAGAAGTGTCTGCAAGTGCTGGCGTTGCTGGATAAACAGGTTTTCAGGAAGAGCCAGAGCTGTATCTCTCCCCTTTACAGAAGCTGACTGCCTGCCTGCCTTGTAGGATGCTTGTAGGACTTCTGCTCCAGCAAAGCTGTAGATCTAGGAATCCTAGAATCATAGAATGGTTAGGGTTGGAAGGGACCTCAAAGATCATCTAGTTCCAACCCCCCTGCCATGGGCAGGGAAATCCTCCACTACACCAGGTTGCCCAAAGCCTCATCCAACCTGGCCTTGAACACCTCCAGGGATGGGGCATCCACAACTTCACTGGGCAACCTGTTCCAGTACCTCACCACCCTCAATGTAAAGAATTTCTTTCTTATATCTAACCTAAATCTGCCCTCTAAGGAAGGACAGGCAATGAGGGATGAGATGCAAGGCAAAGAAGGTTTTTGGTGGTGTTTTCTCCTCTTGGTGAATTTCAGAGGCAGGTTGGGGGAATGGAGGCAGGTAAATACAGGTCACGTTAGCATCTGCAAGGTAGGTAGGGTTTTCTGAGTCGTGTTTGAAATTTGTTCCTTGCTTGCCCTTCACATTAAGCAGAGGTCTGGTTAATTGCCATCTCCATTTCAGAATCAGTTTCTAGAAGGAAAGGCCAGTGGTGGTAGTCTTGTATGTCGTGTCTCGTGTGGGAGAGCTCTCTTGCTTATAGCCAAGTTAATTCAAAAGCACCACGGCAGCATGAAGGCCAAGTAGCTGCCCTGATAAAGGGAGTCTGCACAAACGGAAGCAGGGTGTGTTTTTGCCTTTCTGCACTTTTTTCTCTACATCAATTTGCAAAGATGCAAAATGAGCTGCAACTAGCAAGGGATGCAAGTCTGCTAAATTTTCTCAAGTCAGATTTAATTTTTTTTTTAAACTAGAAATATTTGAGCTTAGATCTTGGTGTGTTTTGAAATTCAGTGGAATGATGGCTTGTGTGCCCAGCAGGGACACCAAACTTTTCTGCTCCAGGCATGTGCTCCTGCAACTATAGATGAAAATCTCTCCACTAATTTTAAGTTTGGTATTGAGTATTCATCTCACTGCAAAACTTGCAATATGGGAGCACTTTCCTGTCCCTCTAATCAGCTCAGGTATCGAGCGTGAGGCAACTTTTTTGCAAGCCTGGCTCCTCCTGTCCTCTGTCTCAGATTTAATGTGCTGTTTTCCCAGGTGACCCACCACAAGCCGCTGCCTGGATTGGCCAGTGTATCCTCTACTTGCTGATAATGGTTTTTGAGAAGACTGTGATTAGCCTTGTCCTGCTTATTCCTGGCTGGACAAAGGTAAGTTCCTGAGCTGTATTTTTCTAGCCGCAGCTGTTGTGGCTTGTTTCTTGTCAGCTTTCCCTATTAGTGGTCCCCATCATCATAGGTCTTTAATCCTTACGACTTGTTGACATCCCTCTGTAATCATTAGCTAGTACTTAAGTTTGGGGAAACATGACTTTCGTAACAGTTTGGCTTTTGCTACGTTCTCTTGCTAGTCAAAAGCTAGTGGAATAAGATGCTGCTTTAATTTTCTTTTCCATCCTTGGAAGGATGAAATGGGCTGGGCTGGCTTCTTCTGCCAGAAGATTTCTACATTGTCTCGACGAGTCAGTTTGTGTTGGTGATTTGTGATCCCATGCCTAAACTAGGGGGATTCTTAGGGATTAATCTGGAAAGAACTATCCAAGTAGTTTGTCGTCCTTCCCCTGCCCCCAACTGCTTCTGTGTGGTAGTTCATGCAATGGTAATTGTGTTGATCACGAGTTTCTCTTTTAAAGTATAAAAATAATAAGTTGTGGCACTTGTAGCCATGTACCTGGTGGCAGATGGGTATAAAAACCAATTCTAGGAGTCAATGGGTAGCTCCAGTCTTGAGTGCATTTACACGTAGTGCCTAGGACCTCACGGGCTGGTGTGACTTGACTGAGGAGTTATTTACAGCAATCTGGGAGTACTTATCTGTTCCTGTTCAGGGCTTGTCCTTCAAACCCAGTAGCCTACAGTGCTCAGACTTGGATGTGAGCATGTTGTTCAGCAGCATGCACTGCTAGATCCAGAGATGCTGCTGGATTCTTCTCCATGCTTATCACGCGTGGCTGGTGTCCTTATTTTGCAGCTAGGCTCCAAGGAGCCAAGGAAAGCCCCACCAGTTGTTGTCATGGACAGTTACACTGAAGGACTAGCAGTGCTTGTTTCTTGCTCTGTACAAAGTCACGTGTTTGGCAGATGGGCCAAAGGAATAGCCCATGTAATCTTTCTAAGAGCTTGGGCTAAAGCAAAGGCTTGCAGAGCCCTAGCTAGGAGATTGCTGGTGTAAGAAGGCAACCAGTTTGCAGCAAAGAACTCACAACAGAGCTGTTAAAATAATGCTTCTCAACGCTTTCTTCTCTGCAGCTTCAGCAGATCCTCTTGGGTTACATCCCAAACCCCCAGCTGGAGCTCGTCCTTGTCATGCTTGTTGTGCCTTTTATAGTCAATGTAAGTGATGCCTCTGCAAGTACTGGGTGGGGTGGTTCAGAAATCATGGTCCCCCCTCAACGGGGAGCATGTACAGGAACTGGTTTGGGCAGCATTGAGTAACTGCAGTGATTGGGACAGGGTGGAGGGGAGTGAGAACAAATATATTTGTTGCCACGAATACACAAATCTGTCACTAGTGCCCTGCCATGGTCCTAATTTCTGCTCCCTTGTCCAAGTTGCTAGGTGGCTGACTCTTTAGCTCTTGGAGGGTTTCCCTGCCCTTGGTAGGGGGGTTGGAACTAGATGATCTTTCAGGTTCCTTCCAACCCAAACCATTCTATGATTCTTTGAAGAAAGCTGGGGCTCATTAGCTGAAGGCTGCATCTCAGCAGCAAGTTACAGGCATGAGGGTGCCCCAGAGCCCTTTAAGTTACTGTGGGATGGCTTGTCAGCGATGACCTCTGGCAACTTGTCAATCTAGCCATTTGGCTAGACTTCAGATTGCACTACAGCAAGGCAAGGTGTTCAGGTTACCCAAAACTATTGATCTCCTCAAAACTGGTTTGGCAAAACCTCTTGAAAGCTCAGCTTTTTTCCTGGTGCCCCTGACTCTGGGTAGTCCTTGACCTGCTGCTCGGTTCCTGCTAAGATGGGAAGTGAGAATAAGGTGTTAACATTCAGGTGCCCCCTGGACAAGGAGTGAGTTGGACTCTTTACAACTCATGGCATGAGCATTGCAATGGATGCAGCATTGGCAAAGTTGAGTTTACCTGCTTCTCTGCACCACCTCAGGCTGCGTTTCCTTGTTTGAAAGCAAACTCTGGTTCTCAAAGAACTTACCAGGGAGTGGTGCAGACAGAGCAGATGACCTTGGCTGGAGCTTGGTTCAATGGTTATTTCCTGGTGGAAACTTGTTCTATCATGTTTTTTGTTTTTTTTTTTCTCTGGGTCTTCAACAGCTATGGAATCAATAGGATTTATGAGAAGGGACTCATCCAACCCCTGTGGATGTACTTGATGCAGGGTTAATTTAGGTATTAAATTAGGTTGATTGAGGCTGGATATCTGGAGGAACTAAAAGGAGAAGAAATAGTTGTTATTGAATGACTTTGATCTCTGATCTCTGCAATCTATTCATGTAACTTCTTTCTCCCCAAGGCCATTATGTTCTGGGTTGTGGACAGCTTGATCATGAGGAAATATAAGCAGAAGGACACCCTGGACATCAATGGGTCCATAGAAACTCCTCGGGCTAGGAGAACTGAAGAATCTCAGGTAAGATCAAGGATGTCCTGTGTTTAAGATCAAACTGCAAGTTTGTGGTGTGGTCTGTGTGCTTTACCACAGCCATGCAACGTACCATCACATTGCCTAGACCTAGGGTGATGCTTCATGAATGCACATGATGACCCAGCGAAGTCAAACTAACTTTTGGTGCTTGCAGCTGAGGTCAACAGAGGGATGTTTCCTGGCAGGATCTGGCCTTGTCTAACAATAGGCAACATCTCAGCCTACAAAGTGTTGCTGAAATATCGCCCTAAATATGATGACAGTATCTCATGGGGTATGAGCTAGCTTTTGCAGTAACCTGTGTGGGCTTATCAGAGTGGCAGGCTGACTGGTGGGTACCTTTGCACTCTTTCTCAATTTTCCCATTTTTAATTGTAATTAATTTTGGCTTAGGAGAGCTTACTTTCTGTACTGTAATTGGTAGCATCCTTTTAGAGGACAAGGCCTAGCTGGCAATCCTATTTTTGTCAACATTTGGTATTTTTTCAGCCAGATGATGGTCTCTTAGCTGTAGGAAGCTGTATTTTGTGTAGTCTGAGCTTTGCACTCTTTCTCAATTTTCCCATTTTTAATTGTAATTAATTTTGGCTTAGGAGAGCTTACTTTCTGTACTGTAATTGGTAGCATCCTTTTAGAGGACAAGGCCTAGCTGGCAATCCTATTTTTGTCAACATTTGGTATTTTTTCAGCCAGATGATGGTCTCTTAGCTGTAGGAAGCTGTATTTTGTGTAGTCTGAGCTTGCCACTTAGAAGTTATGGGGGGG